ACTTATTTGGTGCTTATAATAACTTTAACCACTTCTACACTAATATCCATGTTTTGTAATATAAAAACTAAAATATTTATCAGGTTCTTAAAAGTGATTGTAAAAAGGTTCACCAACAGACTTTCTTCTACAAGGTTTGATCACTTGCACAGAAAATAATGTTTGAGAAAAATATATTCACCTTCACTTTAGTCATCTTAAAAAGAGCAGTAAACCTCATAGGCTGTATATAATATTTCTCTCCATTGTCCAAGGAAAAAAGGAAAGAAGGATCAAGCAGCTCACTGCGTTTGAACACAAATCAAACCAATTGATTAGTTCACTAAAATTTCCATATAGCAGAATATAATACAAATTATGTACCTTGCTGCACGGCTCTTGTAATATGTGAAAATAATCTCAGACATCTTTGAAACAAATATGTCAAAACAATGGTCAACCTGTGAACACATAAAACATCATACCAAGTTATCAAGTTGGTAGAAAAAGGAACCGTTTAGTATCACCTCACAGAGATCTGGACGATGTGCTTATTAATTATGTGATAAAGCACTAATTACTTGCTGAGTCTCGCTCACATAGCTCAGCTTAACAAATTCATATACCTCAGCCTCAATTTCATCATAGAGGAACCTCTGCTTCAATTCAACCAATGCATGCTGAGCTGAGTCGTTATAGATGTCAAATGGCATAAGAACACTTTCAAGAAGACCTGCGTTCTTGGACTCGAGAACATGATCTACTAGCATCCATGGAAGAGAGCACTCAATTGGAAACTGCAAATAAAGAAGAAGCCAAACTTCATAAATTTCAGGGACTAAATAAAGCAAACATTAAAAATAGAGAGAAAAGCAATCATAAAAAAGAAAACTCTAATGATTGTAAAAGTAATAAAATTTGAGCTCTCAAGTTCCAGAAAAGTTTATTTATGGACTAGTGGTTACATGAACCATGCGCATTACATATTAGTGTAGACAGTTCAAAGTGGAACTTTTATTCACTCTAACAAGCATTTTTAGAGGAAAACAGATAATGCTATAAACAATACACCAAGCTCCCCCTCCTCTCATCTTATGAGAGAAGCTTTACGAGTTACCATGAGAAAACAAACATTATTTTTCCCTACTTCTTGTTGTCTTAAAATGAGGTATTTCCCTAATTGGTAGACCAAGTTTGCCTCACTGGAAAAAATGGGGAGGGTGCCAACTCATGCAAAGACATCCAACTTGTATATGGTAAGAAGACAATTCTCAAGCTTCTTTACCTGAATAACATGTGAAGACTCCAGGTAAAACTCTCTAAACCACAGAAAACCAATATCCGTCAATGTAGTAACAGTCGCTGCAAAAACGATTAATGCAAAAATTAAACATATCTATAGCTTGTTTTAACTCTGATGTTTCACGTAAGACTGAAAGCAGACAAGGTCAGAAGATTACCCGTATAGTCCAATATATGCAGGAAAAAGCTAAGTTTGTAAAAGAAGGTTTCCAACTGCTTTAAATCATTAACAGGAATCTCAGACCCGCTATTCCCAAAAAGCCCCCCAGGTTTCCGAAGATTGCCACCAGACACCACCTCATATATCAAGAATTGCAAGCAATGCACCTGAACAAAGAAAAGAAAGTCACAATTGTTACAATGAAGAATTTTTGTCTAGTAGTATGTTCTGACGCTACAATTTGATTAGGTCCTTGATTTTGAATATTAAAACAAGATTTTGATTCACAATTTGAATTTCGATTAAACTATGATAAATATCATGCACTTGTGGAACCCCTTGTTGGATATTTTAGTAATTTTCTCCATAGTAAATAGAAAATAATTAGTTGGTGCTGACCCTCAATATAAACGTACTATAACAGCAAAGACACTAGTCTCCTACTTGTATGATATGTATCATTGCTTCAGTATCATTGTCCCATAATAAAAACATAAAATGGTTGGTACTCCATGGTATTCAGAAACTGACTATAATACCTGTTACTACACTAACAAATGACCATAATAAGAACATATAAATGGTTGATAGTCCATGGTGTTCTGAAACTAACTATAGTATCCTGTTACTACACTACCAAAAGCCCAAGTTAACAGAACAATTTGAGGAACTTTTTCTCTTCACAATTTTCCGGCTACAAAACCAAAAAAAAAAGAAGATTGAATAAACTCATTAAAATTTTCTACATTTAACTAATATCATTTTAGGAAACCTTGTGGTATGATTCACAAGCTGATGCTGCACTAATATGGTACAACTTTGGGTAATATGCTGCACTAGTATGAACTGTCAGTTGATCTTTTTCCATTAAAAATAGATTCCTATGTTGATTTGATCTATAGTGTAAATCTAACAGGAACAACCTATTTTTAGCCGGTAAGGAAAAGAGTAGGAGAAAAGAGCTGCTATGCATGAAAATGTGGTTAGTTTGAGAGAAACCTGTGCAGCAGTTGGTGCGACAGGCCTTGGATGAAAGAAGCTTCCTCTGCTTTCATCATATCCATGCTGTGAAGATTGCAACTCAGCTTCGGGCTTGCTTGTATTTGCCATCCAGTCCGCTGAAAGAGTCCGCATATCAGAAAGGATCCTGAAAATAGTCAATAGGATAGAACAGTCAAGCAACTTGAAATATTTAGTCAATAATCCTTGAAGTTGGCAAATTTAGGGGCTAGCATGAGAGGGAACTGCCATCATAATCAACTCACAAGCAGAAATAACTGTCAAATAAGGTGTGCACTTTTTATCTTCTTTTGATGGAAGTTTTGAAAACCAAAAATATTTTCAAGAAAGAACAACACGGCACTAAATTGAGGATACTATGAGCCTCCTCCAGGTTTGAAAATATTTATGGCAGACCCTTCTTCAATATGCCACCTCCATGCCACCAATCCATAGTTTTAAAGAAAATAATTATGCATTAGAAACCATGAAAACAGGCACAAGTCGAGGCCCCTCAGAAAATACAGGAGAAGTATACATGAATAAAAAGAAAATTTAAAAAAAAAACGGAAGAAGCTTAAACTCAAAGTTTAGACCATTCTCCATGCAGAAGGATAGAAGGAGGAATGACCACCAGAAACCTGTTGCAATAAGTCTATATGAAATCCCTAATGCTTATTTCCTTCTTGCTAAATTATATGATCGGCTTCCCAAGGACTTATATGGCTTGCCCAAATGAATTTGATCTTTGGTGCTTGTCGACCAGTTAAGGTTATTGCAACTTCCAGAAGATTCTTCACTGAAGAGGAAGTCATGAAAGCTTCAAGACATTATGCCCCTTAGAAAAATTTAGCTTCAATATAGTTTTTGCTTATTTTGTTTATTTTGTTTATTCATTTTTTTTAGCAGACAAGCACTGGTTATTTGCGTTCTTCAACAATCACCCAAATTAGCAATATGACTTAATTAAACCTCGAAATGCATTGAGCTTAATGTGGAAGATGTATACCTAAGGCTGAAGCAATCAATGTTAGGTTAGAACCAGTATGCGATGAGAGCACATCTTCATGCATAATCATGAGAGATCCTTTTGAACATCTAGTAACTAACATATAATATCAAATATATATTATATATATTATATATATTATGTGTATATAATTGAAAAGGATGTGCGTCAGTTGAAATGTTATCATATCTCATTCTCTCTATTTCTATAAAGTTATGGTAATAACCTTGAAAGATCTTTCTTCTTTCGGAAGGTAGTACGCAGCATTGTGGCTAATGTATTTTGAACAAAATCTTGGACCTCAGCATGTATCGTCTCCCACAAAGCATCAGCAACCAATGTGTCACACCGTTGCATCATCGATCCAATGCTCTTTATATAGCTAACAAGTTCAACCAGTGCTCTTCTTTCATCTGCATTATAATTGTACCTGACAACCTACATAGAGAAGCCTTCTAGAATGAGCAGAGTTGAATATTATGTCAGGTCATACATAGATGCCGAGATAAGCGTTGATCTAACGGCAAAAGCTCCAAGATATCTAAGACAACACTTCCTAAGAATATTGCTTTAGCAAGATAATCCTGAAAACCCAAAATAGCCACACTTAAATTATAGGCTATAATACCTTCTCATAGTCAGAATGTGGTGCTGAACCTTCTTCTGATTCCGATGGAAGTGCATCCTTGCATGGACGAGAAAATTTCCAAGCACATTGTTCCCAAATGCGTGCATTCCATCTGCTTAAGAGCTGGAAACCTTCAACAACCATATCATACATGTTTCCCTTAACTTCTCTGGACCACTCAACATCAGCACCATCTGTTGATTTCAACAGCAACAGCTGCAAATGAAGACAAAGAAAACAGAGTTGGAATTTCTAGAAAAGATACAGCAGGAAACTTCATTTATGTTCACAGAAGGAGAAGATCAAGGGACTAAAGAAAGCACCTGGTTCATGGCTGAAGCAAATCTAATTGTAAAATCATCATGTTCAGCACGGATAGCTACAATGTGATTGATGATTAGATAATGTCTCTGATAAGTAACCACGTCAAGGCTTCACAAAAATTATGCAAAATCTAAAATTTCGTACTTAGCAGAAGTGACTACATTAATGACCATAAAAATGGTTAGGGTTATAGGATATTCTTGCACTTCACGAGGCGGCAGCTCATGAGGTACTGGAAGAGTGAGAAGGCGAGTCTGTGAAGAGAACTTCTGGAAGTACATTGAAAGTTCTTTCAAAATTGCAGCTGGAGATAGATGGAGATCTGGGAATGCAGGAATGACAGGATCATTCTACCAAAAGGAAAAAGAAAACAATAAGTTAATTTGAGTTGCTATCATCATCTTGCATTGCTAAATAAATATATAGCCATTGCTTAGATCTAGCAATGCAACATCATTCTCATAAATTTTGCAAACCCAATACCTTAAATATGTTAATCAATCTGTTGATTTTCACTCTCTTGTACAATGACTCACTATCTTTCTCTGATGATGTTGCTAAGACAACAAGAACAGGCAAAACACGAAGCAGAATGTGCCGCTCTGGAAACAGAAGAGCAAAATCCAACTCCAACGATTCAACGGCAAAGACTATAAGAACTTGAAGAATGTCTTCGACACTAATTTCAGTTAAGGATCTCACAACAATTTTTTCAAAGGGAAAAATGAAATTTATTGAAGAGCAACAAGGTAATGCTGCACAAATATAAAAGAAATACATGATAGGAAGATTTTACAAGGACCTCATAACATATAACAAAAGAGGACCACCAGCAAACATGTTGCTGATAGGAAGGAGGTTAATTTTCCAAATTTTAGAATAACACTACATTTGAAAAACCTTTACTAAGGAGTAAATCAATCAAAGAATGCAGATTCTTCTTCCTACCAACAACAAGGAAATGAAATCATCTCTCTGCCAGTCCAGCATAATATGGAATTTTTGCGACAGAACAATGGGTATAAAAATGCATTAGCCAGGATACTTGTTGACGCGGAACATCTCCACATGCAAGTTCAGTAAGATAGCCCATCTTGTGCTTAAGAAAATCTGTGAAAATTATGGGTCATTATCAATGGAAAAAATATGAATATGTTTCTTTGAAACAGTTTGCACATCATATGTAATCAGAATCACAAACCTGTAAATCATCTAATTCCTCCCTCAGAGCATCAGTGTCTTGCCACTGAGCACTAACTTGCGTAAATGTCCTGCAAAGTGAGAATGAAGACAGAAAGAATGGATGTTAAACTGCAACAGCTCATGACTTGTACAGCTGACTTCTAGAGAAGGATACAAGCAAAAAACTAGATAGTAGGAACATCAACTAATATAGGAATGCATAGTCAGTTCCGTAACTAAAAAATGGAAAGGTCAATATAGTATTCATGTTTGAAATCGATTCAACTATTATCTAGAATTAAAACCTCGATTAACCTTACATCAGGAATAATCTGAAATCACAATTTTGACAGTATTCTTTGTTTTTTACAGAAAATGAAGTACCATTAAGATGGGAATAGAATAAGTATACGCAAGGAGAACAAGACATCCTCCAAAAATTGGAAACAGAGCAAAAAAGAGAATACATAATCTCAAAGTTAAAAATATACAAGTTACAGAAACTCATATTTAACACCTTTTTTTTCTGAATAAAGTAATTTACATCAAGAACTTTATAGTAACTGGACCATTTCTGCTTCAGTATGCACTATAAATCAGCTCCGGAAAAAAGATTGATTTATCTAAATAATAACAAGGCAATTTATAATCATATGACTGAAAGTCACAAACTGTGGGAATATAAATCCCCATGCATATATGAATAAAACTAGCAAAACAATAAAATAATGAACTAAAGTTGCATCTAAAAAATCAGCTTGTGCTTAATTTACATTCTCTAACCAAAAATGTCCTATTAAATCATGCTATAGTAAAAATCACCCGCTTCAATTATAAACAATAGAAGTTGGCTAAATTCGGCCAAAACAAACTCTTTGAAAATAAAAATTCATACAGCAAGAGGTCCATTCACATTATATGTCATATAAGGAACTGTCAATGAAATGGAGGCGGAAATTTTACTGGTTTTGGTACCTTTTACTGGCTTTAGCATTTTTGACAGATCCATTCACAATTTATGTCATATAAGGATCCATTAACATTCCTTGCTTTAGCAAATTCACAGAATTGTTTTTAAGACAGGGGAACAGAAAATTAAGTAGTTTTTGTACCTCTTATACCAAGAAAAATCATTAGGTATACTGGCTTTAGAATTTTTGAGATGATCAAGTTGCACTAAGACATCAAGCAACTTCAACATCGACCTGCCGCAAACAAGAAATCTGTGAGCAGGGGATTGGAATTTAGACGTGGCATTGGACATGTATTAAAAATTCCAAACTGGCAAATGAGGTAGTAGAAATATAAACTATGATGATATCTGAAAACAAGTGAGAAAATTAAATATAACACACCAGAGATGGGTTATTGTGGGGCCATTAATGCGCCGCTCAGGCCTAGAAAAGCGTTGCATATCAGCAGCTAGCTGCATATTACAATAATCTAAAAAATTTTATTTAGCCATTACAGATAGACAGAGAGGGAAACATGAATAGGGGATTTTAAAGCCCATACTTTAGAAGCAGCTGATGCTTGCCATTGCTGAATTTCACGCAAGCGGCTCATCTCCAAGTCAAGAACTTGATAGGTCTCTAGATACAGATCAGCTTGACTGTGTTTCATTGAATCAGGAAGCTGCACATGATTTGCAACAAGAAACGTAATAAAAAAGAAAAATTAACAAACTTGACAGGTTTATCATTAGGGTAAATGACCTACAATCAGAGATATGGAAAAATCTAATATTTGCAATGACAAGGTACTGATGAATTAGATTTTTGAATGGCTGAAAAATTTTTCAGCTTAGTGATCTATACGTCCTCATGGAGTAAGAATCCGTTGAAGAAAACCCACATTTAAGGATTCAAGTTATTAACTTTTAGAAATTTGAGCTCTAATTCTTTAGAACTACTAGTTTAAACCCAAAAAGTTATTGGACAGGAGGTACTTAGCGATGTAGAACCATTTAGCATAGTTTTTCACTCGTTTCGTACTACCACAAGAATTATTATCTAGCAAGAATTTTACAGTTCTTATTTTGTTAGATTTTTATTTCCTCTTTAGTTGGTAGTTTTGATTTATTATTGTTTCGTAAGGTTTCTAGTAATATTAGGCTATAAAGACACCCCGTAACTTCATGAACTATTTCTCATTATTAGCCGACTTCTATGAATAAAAACTTTTCTTTTTGAAATATCTATGAATAAAATCTATTGATATTTCTTATTTAATTTAGTGCTTAACAACACCTTGACTGTTGTTGTTGTTGTCAATCCCTATAAATTGTGGATTGGACTATCTTCACTTTTCTCGTCTTTCTAAAGTTTATGCCACTGTGCTATTTCAATTTGGTATTTTAAGAAAAATTCCTATCTTTGTTGCTAAATTCCCAAATTTCAAGACAAATAAAACTCTAAACAATTAAAAAAAACATCAAATCACAAATAGAGAAACTATTAGCCTAGCACTGTTGGCTTTATTAAAATATCCAAAAACTCTTGGCTTTATAAAATATACCAAAACTGTACGGAGGTGGTTGATACTGCCTCATCATAAGCCTAAGAGGATTCCCACTGGAGTTTCCACCCAGTTGAAGCACCTAACTCAAAATGAATAAGATACACATACCAGTAATAGCTCTAAATCGCTGCTTCCTTGCTGGAACTAGTATTTTCCCACACACATCAACAACCATTAATGCCTGATCTAGAACTAGCGTCACTGAAACAATCTTGTGGTCAAAAACCTAATCTTTAAACGATCACTTGGACGTGCTTGGATCTTCTTATCTGAAGCCTCTCCATTGATCTGTTCATCAGAGTTCACAAAACCGGTTTCCCCAAGCCAGTTTAAGGCCCTGACTGGTTCAGGCCAGTTTCCTAAGTTTTTGAATGCGCTCTTTCTGTTTTGAGGTATTTGTTGGCAGATTCAAATTGCACAACCTTCTTTGTACCTGTTCAGGTACTTTTAAGGTAAAGTGAAATGTTGCTTTGTACTCCTAAATAGGTGCAAGTCTTTGATTTTTAAAACTCAAAGCAGCATCATTTGTGTCTCTTCTAGTCCTTCAAACTATTGATTGGGAAAAAAAAAAAATTTTTTCTTCTAATGTACCAAAGGCGACAAGCATAACACCCTCCCCATCTGTTCAACAGATGCAGAGGAAAAGAAAGAGACATGAGCAGAGGTGGAGGAAAAGCTCGCACAGAGAGGAAGAAGACAAAGAAGCAGGCTTGCATGTGAGAGACAGGAGCACCCTGAATGAAAGGGAACATTTGCATGAAATCAGAGGAAGGACGAAGGCCAGACAATTGGACGTGGTGGTAGGCAGAGGAGCAGGAGCCATTACACGAGAGGACAAATCCAATGCATGGAAAAGGAGCTTCATTTTTTACTTTAAGGAGAAGAGAGGAGAGAAAAAAGAACAAAGGTACAGGGGAGGGGGTTAAGACAACAATGAGATAGAGGTAATGCAAATTCCCATAACAAATTACTGAACCAAGTAATATCTACAACAGGTATGGCTATAACACAATATTCTGTTCCAACTCTGGAGCGAGAAATGATGGTTTCGTTTCTTTGAGCTCCAAAACAATAAGTCCAGAGCCAAGGAAAATACAATACCCAGCTTTTAGCAGGGTGTCTGGACAACAAACCCAATCTACATAAGGAAAACCAGTAAGTTGAGAAGAGGAATCCAAGTATAGTTGCAAACCTAAATAAGTAGTGCCACAAATTAGTGAAGAATTCACTTCACAACTTGAAGGTAGTCTTCCATTGCGTCATGCATGAATTGATAGACCCGACTAACGATAACGCAAATGCCAAGTGTTACAAAGGTAAGTAAGGTACTATAAAGCACCAATTAGACTTTTGTATGTCGTAGGATTGGCTACTAGATGATCCAATCCTTTTGATAATTTTCCCCAGAGTTGACAAGGGAAAGAAATTGGTTTGCAAGACTGAAGGCCATTACCCTCTAGCAGGTTAAGAGCATATTGGTCTGAGAAGAGGCTCTCTTTGTTCTATAACTTGGGCTCCCAAGAAAAAATGCAAATCACCAAGGTCATTCACAACAAATTGTTGCTTCAGTTGATCCACTAAGCCTTGCAAAAGAGCTTGGGCAGAAGCAGCTAAAATATAAAATATCATCAGCACATAGAAGGAAATGCTCAAATCAGATTAATAGAGAAAAATTAATGGGTCAGCCTCATTGCTTTGGAAACTGACAGAGAAGAGAAAGGAGGCAACATAGTATCAACTCTGAGCTGACTGTTTAAGGCTGCCGTATTCAGCTCACAAAAATAATTCATGTGATTCAGAATCCTCAAAAAACCTAGTGCCTGCTCATATAGACATGTAGAAATCGACTTTTTGTAAAATTTAATTCCTATACAGATTGGTATCTTCAGAAAAATCTCTCTATAAAGCAGAATCATACTCTGAGGTACTTGTTTAAGCCTACCGTATTTGACTCACAAATATAATTGATGTGATTCAGAATCCTCAAAACCCTAGTGCCTGCTCATATAGACATGTACAAATCCAACTTCCTGTAGAAGTCAATTCCTATACAAATTGGTACTTTCATAGAAATTTCCCTATAAAGCAGAATTATAGTCGACTTTCATAACTGAAAGTTCTTTTCCTTTTATGGAATTGATTTGTATTTAATTTCCTACTAAAACTTTTTCTAATCTTCTTTTATATATATCAATTTGTTGTAAATTAAGTATCATGAAATAAAATTTAGTAAACAGAAATTTTAATTACAAATTTTTATAGTATCAGATCAAGATCTTTGAACTCTAAAAGAATTTTTTTTTTCTTCTCTCTTATACCAATGACCAAATATGGAACAACTGCGACAAGAATCAATGACTTCTTTGAAACCACATCTCGGTCCGATAGAATTATCTCCATCAAACAACCTGAATTGGAAACAACTCAAATTTTGATCACTAGCCACAAGGTAAACAGAAACAACTACATTCAATGGTCTATCGATCAAGATGTTTATCAACCAAAGAGGAAGAGAAGAATATCTCATTAGACAAGTCGTCCAACTGAGCACTGAAAACCCAAAGTTACAAACTTAGAAGATGGAGAATAATCTGATCATGTTGTGACTAATTAACTCCATGACAAATGGTAACAACGAGAATTTTTTGCTGTACATGACGAAATTTGGGAAGCAGCCAAAGAGTTCTACTCAAGTAAAGAAAACACATCAACAATTTTTGTCATTAAATCTGACCACCCAGATGAAAGTAACGAATATTAGCTGAGGCTTAACATCCTAAATTACAGACAATGAGATAAGCTAGGGATCTATTGTGCGAAATAAGGGTTTGGACCGTTAGTTGCACTTTGAGCTATCATTTTCTTCTTTAGAATGCATTTAACCCTTCCCTAAACAAGACAAATGTTTGATGAGACTTTTCTTCATGCAATGATAGAAAATTAAAATAAATGACAGTAATATTAGTCGTCAATGGCCCTAGAGAAAATTTTATTCAGAAGTTGAGGCCAAGATGAACCTGTGGAAGTGCTTTGACACAACTTCGGTATGTATAAAGTATTGATGCCATCTCCTTCCCCTCTTGGACAAGAATATTCTGCAGATCATTCAAAGGCAAAAAAGTAAGCAGACATATTGAGGGGAAAAATAATGAACAAAGAGGACAAGAACCATATACCAGCTGATTGAGAGCTTTTGTGTCTTCTGATAGAGACAAGCGATACGCAGAAACATCACTATACTCTAAAAGAGAAAACATTGCTCAAGTTATGAAACACAAAGAAGAGTACATATGAGAAAAAGAGAGAACAGTAATAGTTTCAATAAACATGTAACAAACAGACAAGGAAGTGAAATTACATGCTTGACAAGTAGTGATATTTCATAGACATGCTAGATATAGATAAAAAATCTTTTAAAAAAAAATTGGAAACCGTAAAGCAAAACATTGAACTATTTATTCTGTCAAGACAATTAAAATTACGGAAAAAAAGAAAACAGTTCATCTTTCAAACAATCATTGATGATAACATTCTATTACTCACTTCATCATGCACCATATTTTTTTGCAATATAAAATATACATGCGTATGCAGACGTTAACTAAGACAAATTACAGTATCTATTCTTAACTATTGTGAGAGTCTATGACTATTACAAAAAGGCAGAGATGGAAAAAGAATACTCCATTAAACGAGAAAATATTCAGGAAGCTGGGTTGGGAATCGGGCTCTCTGGGTACCTATTCCCCAACTGTTCTCTCTTCAGCCCATGATGGCCTGGCCTGTTTGAGCTAGAACCCCGGGTTTGGGCACTTGGGCCTGGGCCAGGATTGGATCTCAGCCCCTTAGGAACAGCCTCGCTATAGCTCAACTGTGTGGTGTGATGTTGAGCTGTCTTGAGGAGCCACCTCACTAAGCATTTTCCTCTTTCATCTAACAGGTAGTTTTCTAGTCTTTTCCCTTGCCACAATATCCTCTTCCCTCATAATCAACCGGTCACATCTCCAAAGCAGATTATGTGGCAATATCTTTGCTTAAAAGTTGAATTTGTTGTATCGTCACCTCCCATCTGTTCTGCTTTGCTGATACCAGCGACCATGTTCTGCTAATGATATATGGCAGAGGCCACCATGGGAGAAAGATGGGAGCTCGTGTCGAGGATTGCAAACATTGATTGAATCTGAGTCATTCCTCCATGAACACATTCCATCATGTGAACAAAAATTTTAGTCATCTTCTTCCCCCC